AAACTGTTTAAAAATATTATTTCAGGTTGGGCACGGTGGCTCGCGCCTGTAATCCCAGCACTTTGTGAGGCCGAGGCAGGTGGATCACCTAAGTTCAGGAGTTTGAGACCAGCCTGGCCAACATGGTGAAACCCCATCTCTACTAAAAATATAAAAATTAGCCTGACATGGTGGTGGGCACCTGTAATCCTAGCTACTCAGGAGGCTGAGGCAGGAGAATCGCTTGAACCCGGGAGGCAGAGGTTGCAGTGAGCCAAGATCGTGCCACTGCACTCCAGCGTGGGCAACAGAGTGAGACTTTGTCTCAAAAAAAAACAAAAACAAAAACAAAAACAAACAAACAACTACACATGCTTCAGTCCCTGGTTATTTCAGTATCTCTGGAAACATCCTGACCTGTCACTTCCATGAACTCTTCCCTAATGATCTTGTCCTCTACCTTTCTTCAGTCATTTTGCTCTCATAATCATGTTGTATGCATTTCATTACCAGCAACTGCACATCCTCCAAAATCTTGATTTCAAGCATCCCATTCTCAAATTTTCAAATTTTCAAATCTCAAATTTTCCGTATCACTTGCTCTAGTATTGCATGTATTCTAGTATTCTGATGAAATTTCTATCCCACTGATATTTATCACCCCTTGATTCTAACCCTCTAACCCTTTGGCACTGACCTCCCTGCTCTCGGCCCACCTCTCTCATGACCTCACTCATCTTCTTATGCGGCTAGAATTCCAAGGCTTGTCATTTTAATCATACCCTCCTATACCACTTCTATTATTTTGACAAGACCCAAAATATGAGTAATTCTGGTTTTTTGCCTTATTCTGTTCTACCCATGCCCCTGTATAGCTGGATATAGAGATGAACAATTATTTAAATGACCTCACTTGAAACTCAAGAGAGGTCCATTTTCCTGGTTAATTCACTCCTCACTGTCTACTTTTCACATTCTCTCCTCAAACTTTCAACACCTTCTCAAACACCCTCACTCTTGCCTTTTTTTTGTTAACTGATGAATTAGGAGCAAACAGAACAATTCCATAATCTCCACGACTATTTCCATTCGCCTACCTCTATCTGATCCCTCCTGTCTGTGCTCCATTCTAAAGTCAACTTCTCCAGTTTTGTACAAGAAATCCTACCTATTAATGTCAAGGACATCGCTTCATCAATTCTCCTTCCTCTTTCCTAAATCACTATTTTCCTCTGCTACATGAATCCCATCAACATGTAATATGCTATAATTTCTTTGATTTTATAAAAAAATATAATTAAAAACTCCTGTTCCCATGCTCCCTCTAGCTCCTACCTCTTTCCCCTGCTCCCCTTCATAGCAAACTCTTCAGTGACTTTGCTGCTGTTATCCTGAGCACCTCATAAAAACTGCTCTTGTCAAGAACACCATTGACCTCCACCAGGCTAAATACAAATTTAATTTTCAGACTTCAGTATAATTGACTTTTCACTTGCTTTGACATAATACATTACCGTAGACATACTGAAAAACCTTTTTTCCAGTTTTATTCTAGTTCACAAACTCTCCTGCTTTTTCTAATACCCTAGGTGCTCTTCCTCAGTATCCCCTGTTGATTCCTCCTCATCTGCCAGATGTTATAACATTGGAATTTCCTAAATCAACGTTATTGGGTTTTGTTTGTTCAATCTACACTCACTACCTTGGTAGTACTTTCAGGCACATGGCTTCACACACTATCTGCTCATGGATGATGCTTGGCCTTATGTCTAGCTTAATTCTTTGTTCTTAATCACACATGCCAACTGTCTAATTGACAAATCTACTTAAATCTCTAATAAACCTCTTAAATCCACTTGAATTTCTAACGAAGAGCTCACAATTGAACTTCCAATATCATACCTCAAATGTTTTCTACCCCCAGTTTTTCTTACACTAGTTAATATCAATTCTACCCTACTTGCTCAGATTAAAAACCTTGGAGACATTACTACTCTTGACCTTCACACTTCTCATCGAATCTGTCAGTAAAACTTAAAATCTATTCATAATTTCTCCTCTTCCCACTACCTAAACCACTATGTCTTTGATTCAAGCCACTATTATCTTCTTTCCTGAAACATTCTTAAGAAGCTTTTGTTAAATCCAACTAAAATGTATACTCATAAGATGACCATTGAAAACCCTTAGCATCAGCTTCTTCTAGAAGCATGTAGCAAAGGAAACTCTTGCCAGCAGGGCAGCATCAGGTGTTTCACTTCCATGGAAACCCTTGAAGGGGTCATGTAGCAATTCATATAGTTAATTAGACATATTTTCTTTAGCTCTTCCTGTGATATAGCTCAGGTACAAGAAAACAGTAATCATACTGGGTAGGTTGGAAACTTGGCAGAGAAGCCCCATGCCCCAAAAGAGACAAAATATCTTATCACAGCACAGTTAATACCTTAAGGTCCCCACAAAGGACATGCCAATTACAAAAATTATTCAACTCAAGGAAATCAAAAGATTCTCACCAGATATTTGTCTTCTGATACAGTTTAACAATTGGAATCATTTTTGCCACAGCAATGTTGCCTAGTAACACAGTTATCATTTCAATGTTAGCAGTTTTGCGGGACAGCAAACTCCAAAAGTTATTCAAAGGCCAATTTCTCATGCAGGAAGGAACAGAGCTTTGTTAACTCCTTACCCACACTGATTTCTGTAATAACCTTCTACTGGTGTCTGTGCATCCAGTTTTTTTTCTTTCCTCTTCAGTCTATTCTCAGCCCACATGATTAAGTCAAAATATGGATCAGATCACATGACTTCTCTGCTCAAAAAAAAAGTATGGCTCCCCATATTACTCAGAGTAAAATTTTAAAGTTCTTAAAATGTAAGACTCTATATAACTAGACTTTCCACTATCTCTTTAAACTCCTCTCCTATTTTCCTCTTCCTTGAGCATTCTGTTGCAACCATGTTGACTATCTTGCTGTTCCTACAGCTACTAGATATGCACCTGCCTCAGGAACTTTTCACTGTATCCCTCTGCTACCTGCACACATTTACTTCACTTCTACTCAAATAACACATTTTAATAAAGCCTTTTAAACTTGTGATTCCCTAGTTCTACAGGGAGTCCCATGTCTGGCCTTCTTTATTTCTCTTAATAGCATTTAGCATCTTCTTATATACCTATGGCCATTATTTTCTTTATTATCTGTTTACCTCCACAAAAGACAAAGATTTTTCTCAATTTATTCACTGTTTTTCTTCAGGAGGGTCAAATACATAGAAAGTACTGAATAAATATTGGTTGAACTTATTGGATTAATGCTTATTCAAATTTAAATATAATTTATCAGACACGAATATTTCACTTAAATTCCATTTTAATGTGACTTCCTTTACTTAACCTCTTTTTCATCTTTCAATAAACACAACGTTCTAAAAATTTTGCAAATAATTCTAACTAGTCATTTATCTAAATATTTTAAGGCAGCATGACATCCAATTTAGTATTTTCAAAATATAAGGATAAGAGTTATTTTTCTAATCCAGTTATAAATTTTAAAGGATCTATTTCTTTTGTGTAAAATACTTATGATTTTTTAGAAGCCAGAAGGGATCAGCATATGTGGGTGCATTGTTGGCAGAAAGTGAATCATCTTACATTTTGGCCTAGAAATAAACATATCAACATCTAAATGAGCTTCCTACAAATAATCTGACAGCTCTAACTAGTTAATGAGACATTTAAAAATTTTTTTCAACTATATAATGAATTGTGAAGATAGTTTTTTTAATCGTTCTCAGGGATGGAAGGATATTAGTATTTTCTTAATTGTCATTGATGTCTTTAACCCAATGATTTTATTACTATTTATTCAATTATTTATATGTAGCCATGTGGCAATATAAAATCCAATATTGCCACTGCACTAATATGAATTTTTGTAAGGAGCATACCCTGAGTAACGTCTATTGAGATCAAACAATTTTATAAATAGAGCTTTGAGTTAAACCTGCTTAAATACAGAGGAAAACTAAAAACTTGATTTGAGTTTTATGAATAAAGTAAGTTCAACAAAGTAATTTTAAAAGAATGCAATCATAGCTTAGCAAATAATTCTGTGTTTGACAAATAAACATTTAACCTCATTTCCTGTTTTAGAGAAATTTCAAGGAGATCATTTATTAGCCTGAGGACCTGGACCTGTTCCTAATACAAATAACCCAAATGCATCTATTGAGTATTAACTAGCCAAGAAGGATGTACTAAGCACCTACTGTATATCTGCGATTGTTCTTTATTTTGGAGAATATAAACCATATATACATAACTTAGTCCCTGCTTTGGCATAGCTTCAACCGAAATGGCTAGCTAACTAGAATCCTACAGGGTATTTAAGAAATATGTTTTTAGTGTCTATACATGCAGCATGTTGCTAAATTTTCACCATACAATTTAAATAGGATAAATGAAAACATCAAAACACTTCTAATTAAGAATGACCACAGACTATCTCTAGGAAATGCACAGAAGTAAATAAATAACATATAGAATAGCAGTTAACTAAAAAATCACTTTAAAATTTACATAAGGTTTGAATGGTGGAGAAATGATAATACTTGAAATACTCATTAAATCTACTTTTCTGATTGCCATGCAAAATAGCCTTACTACTTAAATTTCCTTAGAATCTCAATTATTTCAGATATTTTGTTGTGAACTTACCCCCTCTGAACTTTGTAGCACTTTACCAAGGCCAGCTCAATTATGGTCTACTAAGGAAAATGTAGCTTTCTTGGGAACAAACAAATTCCCACATAAGACAGAGGTGTTAAGACAGGGGCTCTGTATTGTGGACTAGGAGTTTCTGCTCGCTTTCTCCACCTGTGCAACCATGGTAAGATTAATTCATTAAAAAATAAATTACTATCTTCAAAATGCCATCATGCTTAATATGATAGTCGTGGTTATCAAGCTTCGTTCCAATTTGTAAGTGATGCAAATGTAGATGTTCTTATTTTACCTCATCTTGCTGTGAGTTTAGCAGCTGCAGTTTCATGTGCTTCATGTAGGCCATGGTAATTGGCATGTTGTAGTCAATCATGCTGGTCACCAAAGTGGGAGGTTTTCCGTTATCTGTAATAAAACATTTTTAATGGGTAATGAAAGTGACACTGCATTCTACCTGTAATTTGAAAATGATCTATTTCTCCAAATTGAAACAGGATTTTAGATACCAAGTGTCTTAAAGCATGGTATTATTATAGTTGGATGGTAGAAAAAGTAACTAGTAAGGTTCTACAAAGGTGTATTGACACTGTTTAATAGTACTAATTAATTATTTCTAAGTGCAGGGGAACTTTTAAACATCCTGAGTAACAATAAATAAACCTAATGTGGGGACTAACACAATTATTTGTATTTTTCTTCTCTGCTTTACTTTCTATATGTATTTTTTGAATGCTGAAGGAAATTTGCTCAATTTTTTGCTTTTGGCCATTCCATTTAACCTTGAAGACATAGGAATGAGCCAGCAAAAATGTATCTCTGAGACTGATAGAATCTCTGAGAGAAAGTCATATTTAGCTAAATAATTTTCTATAATTTTAATAAGAACTAAAGCCAAATCATAATTTTTATGTAAAACTTTTTAGTAAAGAAACTCCACATTATTCATAATTTTTAGAAATAAGGAATCGGTAGACTTGAAAAGACATTGATAGAAACCAATTTCCTTGCTGAATATATCTAAAATACCATGAAATACATATAATAAGTGAAAATTAAAACATTATTACAGGGAAAAATGTTATTTGCCACAGCTGAAACTGTCTTTCTTCTAACAATGGGCACTGAATTACTTTGTAAGTGGATATTCAAAATTCACTGCCTCCTACTTGAATAAATGAGATGATCTGACTTGTTGAACTGTTTCAGTCTACCACGTTTTTATAAAAATGTGAGATATAAATTGCCATTATGAATAAAATTGCTTTAAATCTCACTATTTGACACTGCAACTACCTTTATGATCTGTTCCATCTGGGTTTAAATGCATTCTTTTCTGGCACTCTGAGCAGCTCATTAGAAATCGTGTCACCGCTTCTCTTGGTAGGAAGGCATAGCTCTCTGAAATCTGAAATGATTCACAAAATACAGGTGTTATTATATAAGCTGACTGAGCATGATTTAACAGAAATGATCATTGTATTTCCAAATAAGACACGTTATTCCATAATGGCAGGAAGCACAATGAAAGCATGCATTGCATACCATGCATCATTTCAAGAAATATCTATCAAACTTGATTAGATGACTTTTAATAAGAGCCAATAAGGCCATGTGGAGATAAAAATCAACCACATCTCGATGAGCATCTGTTTATATTTTTGCATTTCTTTTAGGTAAAATCACAGTGTACAGATATCCTAATGAATTTTCCTCATTATGAAACATTGCCAACATTGTTTTTAAAGTTACTGCTAGCACAATCAAATTTGCATCCAATTTTATATACTTTTTTTTGTAATTTAGCCCCAAGTAGGAGCAATAAACTTTGGATTTTGCACAATGAACATTTCTTCATTGTTGCTTTTCAAAATATTTTAAGTGAGAATAAAAAATAAATTCAAACAGAACTCATGTATATATTTACTGCAGTGAATCATCCCTTCCACAGAAAATGACACACCTGGAAATGCATTTAGGCCACATATTTCATTTATTTTATGTCGATTTTTAATAATATATATCCATAATAGCTCACACTGACTGTCAGAGCAAGCCTTTTCTGTGGCCTATATAGAGCTTTGTTTTCAGAACCAAGATCTAGAATCAAGTTAGAAATCTATACTACCATTACAGTAATTTTATAAATATTAACTTTTCAAAAACCAAGTTCTCCCATCAAAGCAAATAATTCCTTAAGCAAAACTGATAGATAGTTGAATATCTTTAAATAAAAGCTGACAGTGACTCAGACAGTGCCACTAAGAAGTCTGATGCAGGGCTTCAGTTTTCCACCATAGCACTAACATCTTACATGAAATATAAGATAAGCAATAGGAATAAATGAGTTGCAAATAAGACATAAATGCCACAGATGATTTCTTAGGTGCATCTATAGCCCTTACAAACACTGATGTATTTTAAATTAGTAAAAATGAGGGAAAATGTGCAACAAATGTATAATTGAGTGTAAACGGGTGCTAGTTCTCTTGGTGGTGATGGAGTCAACTTTTGCTTATCCATGCTATAGGAGCATAGACTTGAAGAAACCCCATATACTGAGATCCAAAATTGTAAACCTCATTTTCTCTTAATTTAATATTAAAATCAGTTTGTACCACATAGCCTAATCCTATTGACTTTAAGGGAAAAGAAGTGATAAGAATACTGAAGAGGAGAAACAAGCCTACAATTAAAATCTGCCATTGATAATCCACATTCAGGTCATTAAAATTCAATACTCCTAGGGGTTGAAATGCAGAACTCTTATTTTTAAATATAATATTGACAGACTAAGATATCCAGACTTCAAAAAATACTGCTTCAGACTATGCAGTTATTGTGTGAGGATAATGATCAGAACAATTCTAAACTATTTTGTGAAAAATTTTATATTATTTAATAAGAATGTATATATAATTTACATTCTCATTCATTTTCTCTTTTTCTATAAATGCATATAGCATATATGAATTTAAATTCTATTTTTCTGTTTTTACAGAGGGAATAAATACTTTTAGCTGATTTACTTCATTAGAGATCATTATTTTCTTACTCCCTGAAGAAATACTTTATACTAATTCAGAAGAAAAAAGAAGTCTATAATGCATGTTCCATCCTTATGTTTTATATTTTAAATCATATCGAGTTATAGTCCATTAGAACTAATGGGTCTGACCAGTAAATTCATTATCAAATAGGATTTCAGGCAAAGCCTCCATTGGTTTTTCTAGATTTCTATTAAATCTTTTATCTACTTTATAAGAGAAACATTTCATAGAAAGATAGATAGGTAAGTGATGGAGTCGGAGAGACACTTGATTGGCTTCCACAGCCCTGATACTTTCTGAAAGTTTCTCTTTTCCCCATGCTAATGAAGTACTTTTGTAGAAATCCCTTCTGGATAGATTTATCATTGACCTGAATCAATCCTATGACTTGTCTAGCAGCATTTAACCCCAAATCAAATTTTCTTGAAATTATTAATAATCATATCACATTAGTTTTATAGCTTTCCTCTGAAAAATACTACATGTAATGGTCAAAAATAGGTTTGTGCTCATGTATACATGTATGCATGAAATAACACAAAGCCCACTTTGTATCTTAGAAAATATTTTTAAGCAAATATTGCATCATATTATTCTTTCTGCTGTGGCTCTAACATAGTACTTGCCATGTCACTATATATTACATAAGATAAAAGCACTTATTTGGGAATAATTTTCTTGGTGTTTAGAATTCATGTTATAGGGACACCTGCCATGGCATTCCACTCCCCTTGAATCTTTTCTTCCCAACCTCATATTCACTGGGACCCACAGACCACAGAGTCCTCCTATGCACAGAGAAGAAAGATCCTCCAAGCAGGCTTTTCACATCTCATACTCATTTCTGAAAAAATATTTCTCCTGCAATGCAGGTGAAGAGGAAGAAAAAAAAAACTTTTACCCTATTCAGAATCTTTTCTCCCAGGCCTACTCGAAATCAAGAGTCCTGGAATTCTCAGGAGTCACCAAGATGGCGAAATAGAAGTTTCTAGTATTTGTTCCCTCACAGAAACATGAACTTGAATAACCATCCATGCACAAAAATACCTTTACAACAACTAAGGAATCCAAGTAAGTGATTACAGCACCTGAGTGGAGCACAGAAATAAGAAAAGACTCAACGAAGAAGGCAGAAAAGACAGTTTTACATTATGTTTGTCAACTCTCCCTCAAACCCATGCAGCACAACTTAGAGAAAGAAGTTCTCCACATGGTTGAAGGAGAGTGAAGTAAGCACTCAACCTCAACTTCACTTTGGACCCTAGCAACAGGCCCACCATTACACTCCAGGCACCAAGTATTTGAAGCAGTTGAAGTTAAGTTGTTAACAGCTTAAAATAGTTTGTTATAACTATAAGGTAGTTTATGTAAGTCCTATGGTAACCACAAATAAAAAAATCTGTAAGTAGATATGCAAATGATGAAGAAAAAGTAATTAAAACATACAACTACACAAACATCATCAAATCACAAAGGAAGAGACCAAGAAAGGAAGAAATTGAAAAATATTCATGCAGCAATTAATAAAATGGCAATAGTAAGTCCTTATCTATCAATAGTTACTTTAAACATAAATGGATCAAATTCTCCAATCAAAGGTCAGAGTGGCTGAATGAATTTCAAAAAGAAAAACAAGAACTAACTATATGTTGCCTACAAAAGTATCACACTAGCTATAAGTGGACACATAGGCTGAAAGAGAAAGGATAGAAAAATATATTCCATGCAAATGGTAACCAAAAGGGATCAGGGATGGTTATATTTACATCAAACATAATAGAGTGCTTGATAAAAATTGTCACAAGAGGCAATGAAGGTCATTATATAATGATAAAGAAGTCAATTCATCAAGAAGATATAATAACGGTAAATATACATGTACCCCAAAACAGAGCACCTAAATATATAAAGCCAATGTTAATAGAACTGAAAGGATAAACAAACAGCAATATGTTAACAGCAGAGAACTTCAATATATCGCTTTCAATAGTAAAAGATAGTCCAGACAGAAAATGAATAAGGAAACAGCAGACTTGAACAACAATAGAAACTGAATGAACCTAATGAACATACACAAAACTTACCATCCAACAGCAGCAGAAGACATATACTACTCACGTGAACCGGGAAGAATCTTCATGATAGATCATATGTTAGGCCACAAAGCAAGTTCTAACAAATTTTTAAAAACTGAAATCATATGAAATATCCTTACAGAGCACACTGGTATGAAACTAGAAATCAATAATAGAAGAAAAATTGAAAAAAATTACAAATATGTGAAAATAAAAAACTCACTCCTGAGCAAAGAAAAAAATCAAACGGGAAATCCAGAAATATCTTAAGCACAACAAACTGGAAACAAACATATCAGAACTTATAGAATATAGCAAAAGCAGTTCAAACAGGGAAGTGTATAGCAATAAATGTCACATTAAGGAAAAAGAGCCAGGTGTGGTGGCTCATGCCTGTAATCCCAGCTACTTGGGCAGCTGAAGAGGAAGGATCATTTGAGGCTAGGAATTTGAAACAAGACTGGGTAACATAGCGAGATTCTGCCTCTAAAAAAAAATTATAAAAAGTAAAAAAAAAAAAAAAAAAAAAAATATTCGTCAGGTATGGTGGCATGCACCTGTAGCCCCAGCTACTCAGGAGGCTGAGGTGGGAGGATAGCTTGAACCCAGGAGTTCAAGACTGCGGTGAGCTATGATTATGCCGCTGCATTCCAGCATGAGTGGCAGAGGGAGAGCCTGTTTCCTGTTTCTAAAAACAATAATAATATTAATTAATTTTTAAAAGAAGAGAAAAAGATCTCAAATAGCCTAGCTTTATACCTCAAAGAACTAGAAAAAGAAGAACAAATTATGGTCAAAGTTAACAGACAGAAGGAAATAATAAGGATCAGAACAGAAATAAGTAAGGCAGAGACTAGAAAAACAAAAAAGATCAATGAAACCAAGTTATTTGTTTTATGAAAAGATATACAAAATTGACAAAACTTTACCTAGACCAAGAAATAGACAGGAATCAAATAAATAAAATTATAACTAAATGAAGAGATATTGTAAATGATATCAGAGAAATACAAAGAATCATAAGAAACTACTATGAACAATTATATATGCCAACAAACCTGATAACACAAAAGAAATGCATAAATTCCTAGTAATGTGTAGCATACCAAGACTGAATCATAAAAAGCAGGACGGCCGGGCGCGGTGGCTCACGCCTGTAATCCCAGCACTTTGGGAGGCCGAGGCGGGCGGATCACAAGGTCAGGAGATCGAGACCATGGTGAAACCCCGTCTCTACTAAAAATAGAAAAAATTAGCCGGGCGCAGTGGCGGGCGCCTGTAGTCCCAGCTACTCGGGAGGCTGAGGCAGGAGAATGGCGGGAACCCGGGAGGCGGAGCTTGCAGTGAGCCGAGATTGCGCCACTACACTCCAGCTTGGGCGACAGAGCGAGACTCCGTCTCAAAAAAAAAAAAAAAAAAAAAAAAAAAAAAAAAAATGGCAGGACATATGAACAGATCAATAGTGAGTAGGGGATCAAATCAGTAATCAAAAACCTCACAATAAAGAAAGTCCCAGGACCTGAAGGCTTCAGTGGTAAATTCTACCAAACATTCCAAGAAGAATTAACAATAACCCTTCTCAAACTCCTTCCATTCCCACCCCCTGCCCCCTAAAAAAGAAATTACTGGGTAGGAGGGAACACTTCCAAGTTCATGCCAGCATTACTGTGACACCAAAGCCAGATAAGGACGCTACAAAAAAGGTTTATAGCAAATTTTTCTGATGAACATAGATGAAAAACTCAACAAAAACTAGCAAACAAAATTTAAAAGCACATTAAAAGGATTATACCCTATAGTCAAGTGGGTTTTATCCCTAGGATGCAAGGATGTTTCAACATATACAAATCAATAAATGAGATTCACCACATTAGCAGATTGAAGGATAAAAAATAATATAATCATCTCAATAGATTCAGAAAAAGAATGTGACAAAATTCAACATCTATTCATGATTAAAACTCTTAACAAATATGTATAGAAGAAATGTACGTCAATATAATAAAAGCCATATGCAATAAGCCCATATCTAATGTCATACTCAGTGGTGAGAAAATGAAAACTTTTCTTTTAAAATCAAGAATAAGACAAGGATGCCCACTCTTGTCACTTTTATTCAATATGGTACTAGAAGTCCTAGTCATAGTAATAAAAGGTTAGAAAAAGATAAGCCATCTAAACTTGAAAAAATAAATAAAATTTTCTTTGTTTACAATTGAAATGACCTTATAGACAGAAAATCCTAAAGACCCCACCAAAACAATGTTAGAACTAATACACAAATCCGGTAAAGTTGCAGGACAAAAAAATCAAGATACAAAATCAGCTGTATGTTTATACATAACAATGAACTATACAAAAAAGAATAAGAAGACAACATCATTTAAAATAGCATCAAAAATAAAATAAAATAGAAAAATAATTCAGCCAAGATGATAAAAAATCCATACAAAGATCTATACAATGAAAGCTATAAAAAAGAAAGAATAATCTCTAACAAATACACCAAGAACACACAAAGAGAAGGGATAATCTCTTTTACAAATGGTATTTGGAAACTGGATATCCAAATGTGGAATAAATAAATTGGCCTTTGTATCACACTTTATACAAAAATAAACTCAAAAGGGATTAAAGACTTAAATGTATGTATATGTGTATATAGATACATACATACATACACACGTATATATATACGTGTATATATGTAGGAGTGTGTGTGTATATATATATTTATATATATAGGATCACATAAACTAAAAATCTTCCTTACAGTAAACAATGAATAGACAACTCATAGAATGGAAGGAATTATTTGCAAACCATACATAATAAAGGGTCAATGTCCAAAATATATAAAGAACTCAAAAAATTTAATAGCAATAAAACAAATAACCTGATTTAAAAATGGGCTGCTATGTTTAAACTTCTGTGTCTTCTTAAACTTTTTCATTGAAACTTAATCCCCAGTGCAATAGTGTTGGGATGTGAGGCCTTTGGGAGGCTACACTCTCATAGATGGGATTAGTGCCCTTATAGAAGAGGTCTATGGGGGCTTGCTTGTCTCTTTGGCCCTTCCACCAAGAAAGAAGTCACCATCTACATGGAATGGTTCCTTCTCAGACGCTAAATATACTGGTACCTTGCTTTTGGGCTTCCTAGGTTCCATAACTATGGGTAATAAGTTTCTATTACTTTTCAATTATCCAGTCTAGATTATTTCATTATAGCAGCCCAAACAGACTAAGACATAGGCAAAAGACATGAATGGGCATTTCCCAAAAGAAGACCTAAAAATGGCTAACAGGTATATGAAAAAATGTCGAATATCACTAGTCATCAGAGAAATAAAATTCAAAACCACAATGAGATATCACCTCACACCTGTTAGGATCACTGTTATAAAAAAGTCAAAGATAAAAAGTATTGGCAAGGATGTGAAGAAAAGGGAAGTCTTGTATACTACTGGTGAAAATGTAAATCAACCCATCCATTATAGAAAACAATATGGTGGTTCCCCCAGAAATTGAAAATAGAACTGCCAAGTGATCCAGCAATTCCATTTCTGGGAACACATCCAAAGGAAATGAAATCATTATCTCAAAGAGATATCTGCACTCCTCTGTTCATTGCAGCCTTATTCACAATAGCCAGGATATGGGGACAATTAGGCCAGGTACAGTGGCTCACACCTGTAATCCCAGAGCTTCGGGAGGCTGAGGCAGGTGGATCACCAGAGGTCAGGAGTTCGAGACCAGCCTGGCCAACATGGTGAAATCCCATCTCTGCTAAAATTATGAAAATTGGCCAGACGTGGTGGCAGGTACCTGTAATCCCAGCTACTTGGGAGGATGAGACAGGAGAATCACTTGAACCCGGGAGGCAGAGTTTGAAGTGAGCCAAGATTGTGCCACTGCCCTCTAGCCTGGGCAACAGAGAAAGACTGCCTCAAAAAATAATAATAATAAGATATGGGGACAATATAAGTGTCCACTGATGAAGGAATAAAGAAAATATGACATAAAATATATCAATATTTAATTTTATATGTGTATATATACATATATATTTCATGTTATTACACACATATAATGAAATAATATTCAGCACTGAAAAAAGAGGAAATCCTGTCATTCTCAACAACATGTATGAACCTGGGGAATATTATGGTAAGTGAAATAAACCTGACATAGAAAGACAAGCATAATCTCACCTGTATGTGGAAATTGAAAAAGTCAAACTCATAGAAGCTGAGAGTAGAATACAATGGTGGTTCCAGTGGCTGGAGGGTGAGGAAAATGAGGAGATGTTGGTCAAAGGGTACAAAGTATCAGTTATGTAGTATGAATAAGTTCTAGAGATCAAATGTATAGCATAGTGACTACAGATAATTCTGTATTGTATGCTTAAAATTCATTAATAGAGCAAATCACAAGTGTTACCACATGTACCCACAAATGGTTACTACATGAGGTGATGGATATGCTAATTAGCTTGATTGTAATTAGCTTGATTGCAGTAATAATTTCATAATGTAGATGTATATGAAAACACGTTGTACACCTAACATATATACAATCTATTTTTTGAGACACGATCTCGTTCTATTGCCCAGGCTTGATTGGAGTGCTGAAATCACAGCTCACTATAGCCTCAAAGTCCTGGGTTCAAGTGATCGATCCTCCTGCCTTAGCCTCCCAATTAGCTAGGACTACAGGCGTGGACCACTACACCCAGCTTTTTTTTTTTTTTTTTTTTTTTTGGTGGAGACAGGGTCTCATCATGTTGCCCAGTCTACTCTTCAACTCCTGGCCTCCAGCAATCATCCCATCTTGGTGTCCCACAGCTCTGGGACTACAGGCATGAGCAACTGTACCTGGCTACAATTTTCATTTACCAAGTATGCCTCAATAAAGCTAGCAAAAAAAGAAAATATCCTAGACAACCTTCATTACTGCAGTTCTCAGTGTGGTGACTCACACCTGTAATCCCAACAATTTGACACACTGAGGCTAGAGGATCACTTGAGGCTAGGAGTTCATGACAACCCAGCCAACATAGATCCTATCACTATATAAAATTTTAAAAATTAGTTGTGCATGGTAGTGTGTGTCTGTAGTCTCAGCTAGTCAAGGAGGCTGAAGGAGGAGGCTCACTTGAGCCCATGACTTTGATGCTGCAGGGAGCTATTATTATGGTACTGCACACCAGCCTGGGTGACAGAGTGAGACAATGCCTCTTTAAAAAAAAAAAATTAAAAGTGTCCTGTCCTTGGAAAATTCTTAAATTATGGTATATTTGAATAATTACATTTCATAATTAAACTTTTGTGATGAAATACTGCCATTTGATTCTGTGTGCATCCTTATTTAACCTAATTCAGAGATAGCATTGAAAGCCTATGCACCAATCCTCTTCTAACTTGAGGCCTACGCTAAGTACCTCTATGACCCTTACCCTAATGAAAGGTCTGTTCTCATTTGCTGGGAATGAATGTTTGAAATGTTAAATCAACTTTAAATAGATGTTCATAAATGGTGATAACACTCAGGGACATGTCCCTCAAGGCAGCCCATTTATCGAAGTCCTATCTTTTTTGCAATATGTAATAGCAGATGCAAATAAAACCTAGAAGGAACAGAAATTTAAAAATATTTTGATTCAGATACTGAAAACACTATTCTACTATATTACAATTAACTATGTAAAATGCTACAATCGTTCATAAACGTCGTAAATGTCTTGGACCCAGTTTTCCAATGTGACTACTCTGTTTCTAGATGGAAACTGGATTTTGAATATACAGAGGTACAGAACATTTTCTAGAATATTGGTGATAACAATATTTCACTTGAAAATGTATTCTTAAAAACATTTTTATATTTCAGAAAGACAAAGAGTATTTCCTTAGAGTTTGTTTATGAACACAGAAACACTGTCCCTTGATAGTGATAAGATGCAAACTTTAAAGAATGGATATTAGTCTTGATCCACCTTAACTAAGCACTAAAAAAATCACAACTTCCATCTGACAATTCACATATTAAATATATTGCTCACAACAGAAACAAACATGCAAAGGATGAACTAGAAAATGGCCATATTGAACTTTATAAACTAATGACCTAACATTATTTATCAAGTAAATAATTATGGGGAATATATTTCTTACCAATGTTGTTTTCTATGAATCTAGACTTGTTTTCTTATGCTTATATAATGTTATACTTTTCACTGTGGTTTTACTACCATTATTTTAGCAAATGATTAAAACGGATTTTCCAATAACTTTTTGATAAATTGGCTGACTGCTATAAAGAGACGAAATGAATTGTCATTGTTACACAGCAGAGGGCAAAGTAAAATGCTGGAAGTCAAACATGGATTTCCTAAATACTGTTCTATTTCCGTAAATTTAATGGACGATGAGTGGCTTATCCAACAGACAAGACAAATGCTAAGGGCCCAGGGAAAGCAAACAAACAAACAAAAAAATTTCAAGAAACCCAAAGTATCAAAATGTCATCACAGAAAAAATCAGTGCTTGTTAAACTATCTTCAACTTGAGTCATGGGAAAGATTTGTTACTATTATTATCTTTTACCTTGAATTCAGAGAGAAGGAAGGAAGAAACTAGCCAGGCAAATAGAGCAAAGAGTCCTCAGCAGAATTTCTGCTCTAAAAGAGCAGCCTGGAAGATCAGGCTGCAGACATAGATAAGGAAGCAAGTTCCAGCACAAAGAGGGAGCCTCCTGTGTAATTAGCAAGTTTCACATGCATACAGTGGGTCCCAGTAAGCACTGTGGGCCCTAGTGAGCACATTCCTTTCCACACCTTTTTTTGAATAAGGCAGCTAGAAGCTTGCATGAAGGTGGTGCCTGCAGCTGCACCAATAGAAAGAACTACCTTGGGCCAGTCACATCAACCATGGCCAGGCACATCACCTAAGCTGGAGTGGAGTAGCATAGTAATAGCTCCCTGCAACCTCAAAGTCATGGGCTCAAGCAAGGCTCCTGCCTCAGCCTCCTTGACTAGCTGGGACTACAGGTACACTCTATCACGCACAACCAATTTTTAAAATTTTGTCTACCTGCCTCCCACTTAGCACATGCACAGTGGGGGAAAAGATAAGCAACATGGACTAACTTAGGCTAAGGACCTGCCAAAAAGGTTGGGGTGAGGACTGTCAGAGAGTCACACCCTATGCAAATGACAAACCTAGTCCTAATAGGTTTTTTTACGCCCTATGTAGATGAAATACTCCCTCCCCACTAACTTGCTTATAAAAACCCTTGCATTTCCCTGAAGAACGGCAACCCTTTTTCTGGGACTCCTCTCTGCAGCACAGAGCTGTTCTCTTTCTTTTGCCTACTAAATGTCTGCTCTAACCTCACCCTTGGTATGTCCACGTTCTTGATTTCCTCGGCAGTGAGACAAAGAATTTCAGTGTCACCCCAGACAATGAGGCCATTTCAGAATTATCTATGGTTGTGGAGTGGGGGAATTGTGGCATAAGGTAAATTTTTCATAACTTACCACTTCTGAAGGCCTTAATTCATTTGTGTATTGGGGAACATTGATAGTGTTTTCAGTGGAAGTATTACAGTCTAAGTCCAGTAGGACTGGAATTCATCGGTAATATAGAAAATAATAGATTAAATTATTTCCATAAATTAGAAGTAGAAATGACCTTTACCATCCAAACAGTATAGTAATACTTCCATATAAAAGTAATTTAACCACAGCATCTTTTGACGGACTGACCAATAAAATCAGCCTCTAGAGCAATTACAGCACAACATTAGTGATCCAGTGACAAACTTATCCACCTGTAAAAAGTTCAATGATCAAGTTCTATAAAGGGCATGGTTTCCTATCTTCCATCTGTAGGTTATTAAAAAAATGACAAGCAAACTCTTTGGGAATACCTTACTGAAAATCTCATGGACAAATATACTTGTCTACTTGCCAATGTCCTGCCTTTCTGAAGAAAAAAAATGGTACTTTAAAAAGTCCTACAACTATAAGGCCAAATACTGGCCATTCCTGAGTATCACTAGTCTTCACCTTAACACAATGCAGTTAAGGTAAACATACAAGTTATCCAAAAATCTGAAACTTTAAAAGCAACCACAAGCAAACTAATTTGCAAGACTCATCTTGTAAATTCAATAATGTATAATACTAAAGTTTTCTTACATTTTCCTTTTTAGTATCAGAGTCTTCAGAAATAAATTACCTTTCCAACTTGGATCTGAAGTAACATAAAGTTAGAAAAATTGAAGAAGTTAATTAATCAAAAAAATTTAATAACAAATTGTTGTTTTGCTCTATTTTTTCAGACTATGTTTCATAAGTATGTAAGTTTATCTCCTTAACTAAGCCATAAAATAGTTCAAATTAAGAGGAAAAAATAATGGAAAATAATTTTAAAACATGGGGAATCTGACCATGTCTTCTTTTCTCAGTCCCAAGTATCCTTCCTCTCTAATTACAACAATGCTTCCTTTCTAAGGTATTCAATAAAAAGGGTTTCTAACTATTCAGTTTGTATTATACATACACCTGCAAACCTCTGGTTCTTGAAATGGTAGAGAATTTGCAATCCTCAAAATTAAGATTCCCATTAATTACATGACAATTATTTGTTTTGGCTGTATTACATGGAAGAAAATGTCACCAAGCAATCTATTGTCACCAAGCAATCTGATTGTTTTCCATGAATTGAGTACTTAGTAAATGGATTATGCTGAATCAGAACTTTACATGAGTTTCATCATTTAATCCTCACAACAATCCCACGAATAGATTACCATGATCACTGTCAGGATCTCCGTGTAACAGATGAGAGAGCTAAGCTTCAGAGAGGTTGTGTATTTTGTCAACTATGTACAAGAGATAGGACTCACCTGCTATTGCGGTTTCAAAGTCAATCACTTTAACCACTGTTTTATAGCCACTCCTAGTTATCAGTATTGAAAAAAGATAGAGACTGTTTCCTCCATAAAGAGCTGGGATATTAACCTCACAGCATAGGTTAATTATTCTAAAATGTTTATAATGTTCCCTGGTGTGAAGTTCTTTATAAGTGTAAAATGCTCTAACCAGTTTGTGGTGACCTTTCTGAATACAAGGGTCAATCAAGCACTCTGTACCTTGTCTCAGGTTACAAAGTTCCACAAGAACAAGTCAGACTATGGAGCAACAACACAGAGCTCCGCCTTGAAAAAAATTAACAGGCCATCTGTTCCATTCCAGCAAAACTGATGACTAAAATGATGG